GCGGGGGTTTGGGGAGGGAAGGCTCGATCGGCCGGCCCGTGGCGAGCGGTCGAGAGCGGACTCAGTCCCCGATCACACGCGCAGGCAGGGAGCGGGCGGGGCGGCCAGCTTGGGCGAGGAAGGGTGGGCTCCCGGGGCCCATCGGCGGACCCCAATCCGCGGCTGCTCTGCATCGAAAGGCAACACGGCTTGAATAAAAGACCCCGTCCCCCACACACCATCGACCAGGGCATCGACGCTGTCGGCCGCGGCGTCGCGCCCGGCACTCTGCGCCGGCGGCACCAGGGAGGCCAGCGAGCGGCTGCTTCCCCCCGGCCCGCGCCGCCCCGCAGACCCCAGGCTCGTGATGGTGCTGTCTGTGGGGGAGCCTGCAAAGCATGTGTGGTCAAGAGGGTGTCAGGGTGGGGAGGAGTTCAGGTCACCCCTGCACACTTTGCTGTGTGGATCCAGCAGAAATGACACAGGTGCCTGTGCAGCGTGCCCAGCCGGGGATCCCTCCGAGCAGTCACGGGGTATGTGCGTGGGAACTCTCCTCGTCAACTCCCCATCCTCCCTCCAGCCCCCCCTCCAGCCAGTGCGCACCGAGCGAGACGACGCGGGAGGCGGAGACGCCCACGTCCGACACCTGGCGCCGACCGCCGGGTCCCGGGGCCAGCTTGGGGATGCCCAGGACCTGGCTGGCGGAGGGCGAGGGACCCAGACCCCGGCGCTGCGCCACAGCGGCGCCCGGCCCCCTGGCGGAAGACGCGAAGGAGCTGCTGCGTCGCAGCGCGCTCGCACCTGCAGTGGACGCAGAGGGAGAAGCTGAGGGGAGCGCTGTTGGGGGGGGATGGAGGCCGCCGAGGCTGAGTTTGAGGGTGAAATGTACCAGGAATGTTCCTGGGCACACAGGAGCAGGGCAGTGGGGAGCGTCGGCACGACAGGGGATGCAGTCGACCGTCCACGCTCGCGCCACGACGCCAAGGGTGTCCCTTCTGCGCGCATGCCATTCGGCAAACACAGGCGGCTGCGCGGCGCATGCAGCCCCTCCGGCTTTCCCAGAACCGGTGTCCTTCTACTCGAATTCGCCCCCCCCTCCCCCGGGTCCTTCCTTCCCTCTCCGCCGACCCACCCTCCGAGGGCGGGCTGCTGGTGGTGGAGGACATGGAGGGCCTGAACAGGCCGAGCCCGCCGGCCCTGGCCCCCGCGCTGGCGGCCCCGCTCCGCAGGCTGGACAGCATGGCCTCCGGGACGTGGAGCAGGCCCGGGCGCTTGGGTGCGCGCGGCGCGCCGCCGTCGTTCTTCTGGCCGCCCCCCTGCCCCGGCTCCAGTAGTGCGAGCAGGGCCTTGGCGGCCGTCTCGCCCGCCTCGCGCGGCTCGGGGTCGAAGCGCCGCGCGTCGTGCGGCAGCACCACCGCGCAGGTGGCCCCGCCCGCGGCCAGCCAGGCGGCCGCGCCGCGGCCGCGCAGCGCCTCCACCGGCTGCGGCGCGGCGGCGGCGTCGCGCGCGCGCGGCCCCTGGCCTAGCTGCCCCTCCGCGCCGCGGCCCCAGGCGAAGACGGCGGCGCCGGCCGCCGCGTCGACGGGCAGGCCCGTGCGCCGGTCCAGCAGGCGGCCCGCGGCCAGCACGTGGTGCATGCCCGCGGCCACGCGGTCGATGAAGTAGCCCGCCAGCGCCCCCCGCACCGGCTGCAGGCTGGTGGCGCCCTCCCAGGGGCAGGCCCCCGCGCCGCGCCCCGCGCTGGCGCCCGTGGCGCCCGCCTGCCACACGCGGCCGCCGGTGGTGACGGTCACGGTCAGGTGGGACCCCGCCGCCACGTGGCGGAAGGCGCGCGGCTCCGGCGTGGCCACGCGGCACGGCAGCAGCTGGCCCGTGTACAGGTCGGCATCGCCATGGGCCAGGCACCCGCGGTTGCTGTCGCGCTTCTCCTGGCGGTCGCCGTAGGCCACCGGCTCGTTCACGCCGCCCCAGGTGAACAGGCTGCCGCCCACGCCCTCGTGGAAGAAGGAGTGCTCGCCGGCCAGGGACCCCGCGCTGCTGCTGCGTCGGTGCGCGTGCGGCGGCGGCGAGGCCGGCGGCGGCGGGG